CCTCAGCTCTTCAGCTCAAGGCTAGCGCTCTACCACTTGAGCCACAGCGCCACTTCCAGCTTTTTCTGCTTATGTGGTGCTGAGGAATCGAACCCAGGACCTCATGCATTCAAGGCAAGCACTCTGCCACTGAGCCACCTTCCCAGCCCTCAACAAATTTTTTATAGGTACATTTTGATGAAATCTTTTTTCAAATACATATTTTTTTCTTTTTTTGGGTCCGGTCATGGGGCCTGAACTCTGGGCCTGGGCACTGTCCCTCAGCTCTTCAGCTCAAAGCTAGCGCTCTACCACTTGAGACACAGCGCCACTTCCGGCTTTTTTCTTTTTGCTTATGTGGTGCTGAGGAATCGAACCCAGGGCCTTGAGCATGCAAGGCAAGTGCTCTACCACTGAGCCACCTTTCCAGCCCCTTCAAATACATCTTTTTTAAACTTAAGAATTCTAGGTGCTGTCAGGTGCTGGTGGCTTATACCTATAATCCTTTCTACTTGAGAGACTGAAATCTGGGGATTGTTCAGAACTAGCCCAGGCTGACAAATCTGAGAGATTAAAAAAGAAATTGCCATTTAACCAGCAAAAAAAGCCACTGGAGAGATGGCTAAAATGGTAAAGTGCCAGCCATGTTGGAAAAGGCCCTGGCACAAGAATAAAAGAATTGCAGGTCCCTGAGTGTTTTGAGTGCTTTGCCCAGGATCTACAAACTTTCTGGCTGAATCAGGGCTTAGACTCAGGCCTTCTGACTTTTTTTTTTGTGCCAGTTACCAGGGCAGACTTTTCTGCCTGTGCTGACTTTAAACCTTGATTCTCAGTACTCAGGTTTCTGCTGAGTAGTTGGGATTATAAGTATGAGCTACCAGTGCCTGGCACCTTTTGATATGTGATGTTCTTTCTTATACTATGTCATATTCTTGAAGTTCATCTTAATTTGGTTTATGACTTCTAGTCCTGTGATTTTCAGTTATTACCCTTTTTTTTTACTAACATTTTGTATAAAATAAAACTGCATATTAATGGCTGTCTCATGCCAAGTCTCTTGGCACCTGGAACTCTACCACTTGCTTTGTTTTGTCCTTTTATTTTTTTCTCTTTTCTCTGAATTGTTATGAATGACAGATTGAAAAGGCATATAAGACTGTTTATAATATAACTTGGTATATTTCCAGTTCTTAATAGTTTCAGTGAGATATCTATCAGTTTTTCAACTTTTCCACTTGTAGTCTTACAGTATTACTTATTCTTTCTTTTTTCTTTTTCTTTTGTTGGTTGTGGGGCCTGAACTTGAGGTCTGGGTGCTGTCTCAGTTCTTTTCCTCAAGGTTAGCACTCACTTTGAGCCACAACTCTACTCCTTCATGTTTTTATTGACCATTTTTACTTTTTCTGAGAAGTTTCTATTTAGCTTTTCTTGGGGGGGGCGTTATTTAATCTTTGGGGGTTTAGTTTTATGAGCTCCTTGCATATTATAGTCATTAGGCTCTTGTCTAGCAGAGATCTTCTCTCATCCTGCCCAAAAGTGGGATTGCTGGGTCATAGGGGAGCTCTATGTGGAGTCTCTTGAGGAACCTCCATACTGCTTTCCAAAGTGGTTGAACAAGTTTACACTCCTACCAACAATGCAGTGGGTTCCCTTCTCTGGCCACATCCCCTCCAGCATCTATAGTTATTATAGTTCTTTTTTTTTTTTTTTTGACCTGTTGTGGGGCCTGAACTCTGGGCCTGGTCGCTGTCCCTCAGCTCTTCAGCTCAAGGCTAGCACTCTACCACTTGATCCACAGTGCCACTTCCACCTTTTTTCTTTTTGCTTATGTGTTGCTGAGGATGAGGAATCGAACCCATGTCCACAGGCATGCAAGGCAAGCGCTCTACCACTGAGACACCTTCCCAGCCCTAGAGTTCTTGATTGTAACTATTCTAACTGGGGTGAGGTGGTATCTCAATGTTGTTTTGTTTTTGTTTTTGTTTGTTTTTTGGGTCCACTTGTGGTCCTGAACTCTGGGCCTGGGTGCTCTCCCTCAGCTCTTCAGCTCAAGGCTAGCACTCTACCACTTGAGCCACAGCGCCACTTCCGCCTTTTTTTTTCTGCTTATGTGGTGCTGAGGAATCGAACCCAGGGCCTCAGGCATGCAAGGCAAGCGCTCTACCACTGAGCCACCTTCCCAGCCCCCTCAATGTTGTTTTGATTTGGATTTCTTTTATGGCTAGAGAAGTTGAGCATTTCTTCATATGTCTATTGGCCATTCTTATTTACTCTTCAGAGAAGTTTCTCTTTAAGTCTTTAGTCCACTTATTTATTGCGCACTTGTTTCTTTGAGGATTTGTTATTGGGGGCTTTAATTTTTTGAGTTCCAAGTGTATTTTAGATATGAGACCATTATCTGTTGTATGGCTAGTGTAGATCTTCTCCCAATCCATGGGCTTTCTATTGATCTTGCTAGCAATGTCCTTTGCCATGCAGAAGCTCTGCAATTTCATGCAATCCCATTTGTCCAACCTTTCTTTGATTTGTTGTATTTCTGGGACTCTATTAAGAAAATTTTGGCCTGTGCCAAGGAGACCTAGGGTTTCTCCTATTTCATCCTGTAATGTTTTCAGAGTGTCTGCCTTGACTCTGAGGTCTTTGATCCATTTGGAGTTGATTCTGGTGCAGGGTGATATATAAGGATCTAGCTTTAGTTTTCTACAAGTGATTAACCAATTTTGCCAGCACCATTTACTGAAGAGGCTGTCTTTCTTCCATTCTCTTGTTTTAGCTCCCTTATCTAAGATTAGATGGCTGTAGGTCTGTGGGTTCATTTCTGGGTTTTGAATTCTATTCCATTGGTCCTGAGGTCTGTTCTTGTGCTAGTACCAAGCTGTTTTGATTACTATGGCTTTGTAATAGAGTTTGAAATTTGGCATTGATATTCCTCCAGAACTGTTCTTTCTGTTGAGTATTGTTTTTGCTATTCGGGGTCTTTTA